GGGAGCATGGATCTGCAACACATCCTTAAAGTCAAGGCTGAAGGGGCTCACAGGCAGGTGACCCTACCCACCAAAACTTGGCATGAGAAGATTTCTGTCCTTTCTGCCTGCTTCTGAAGCACTGCTGTCACTCTTGGAGGCTGTGCATGAGGACACAGTGGCTTTCACAGTGGATGAGTGCAGTCGTAAGGGTTTAAAGACAAAAACCTCTCGGTTGTCTTGAGAGGTGTGGCAGGTTCCTCCTGAGTGACTGTGCTTCTTGCTGTGGTTTTTGGAGCAGGCGTAGGTTTGGGAGCGCAGCCAGTGAAAGCACCGTGTCTCAGTCGCATCTCTGCCGCATTGCTCTGAGCTCTGCTAGGAGGAATGCGTTCTGCAGTGACAGCTGTGGCCATGCAGCTGGTGGGGGCAATACCTGGTGGCCCCGTCCCTCCCAGCGGGACTACAGGGCATGCGTGACAGGCGGCCGAGGCTGGAGGAAGGCAGGAGGGGGGGTGGATAAATCGGCAGCCCGTGTGGCTGTATTCAGGGCCAAAACAACATGGCCGGGCAGAATGGATGCTGGGCATTCAGCCTCCAGTCTCTTCCCGTCTCATTTGTGGTGCTCACGGTTACATTGCTCTACATAATTGCAGTAACGTCAGGAACGTGGTTCTTTTCAAACTCAGTATTCCAACAGCAAGTAGGGATAGGTTGATTTAAGCATAATAAAATTATGCAGTCATTTAATGTATTTTTAATTTGGCATCTGGAATACTGCCTGACCCAACTGTCACCAATTTCTCTTTCAGACAAACCCTGGACCAATCAAGGCAGCCAGTTCCCACTCTGAGCACTCTGCTGCCGTGTACTGCTACAACTGCTCCCGGAAAGGACATTTTGGATATGTAAGTCTCAGCAGCCTCTGCCTCAGTGCTGGCTGTACCTCTGGAATAGAAATTCATCCCTATCCACAGATCATGGCTGGAGAAAAGAGCTGGAGCAGTCAAGCTAATGTTGCACGCAGGGTTGCTCTGATGAAACATTTGTGAGTCTGCAGCACTGTTGAAATCAGCGTAGGCCATCATGCAGTGATTTCGCACAATGATCTGATTTTAAAGATGTGGAAAAAAAGGAGGAGTTACTGAGTCAGGTTTATTGGTTTGGTTTTTAAATTGGGAGAAAGAATATGTAAGGGACAGATACTAAACAGAGCTATATTTTTTCCCATTTCTCACACGGTTTATGGAATGAAGCAGTAGTTACTTGCTGCCACATTCAACATCACAAAAGGTTGCTTACAGCAGTCAGCCCAGCAACTGGAATTGCTGTTTTGGGAATTCTCCATTTCTGCCTCTTCTGAGGATTCCAGTTTGTAGCAGCTGAATTAAGCTTACTGGCATGCTGTAAGGTGCAGAGGTGGTGATCATGAGCAGTAAAAATTGGAGTTGTGCTGCATCTTCTGGTATTAGTTCCAAATGTTATCACCTTTTCTAACCTCCCACCATGACAAGTGCAGCTCTGGCCGGGCAGATATCTAGCTCAAAAGGTAAAGGGGTTTTTTAAAAGTTCAGTAGCCGCAAATATTCTAGGAAATGAGTGTTACATGTGTGTTGGTTAAGCTTATTGTTTCCTACTGCTTAGAGAGAGTAAATTGTCAGCTAATTCCTTCTTGCGTGCTCTGTGTGTTCACTCCTGAAAAGCATGCCACTATTTTCATCTAAATTTGTAATCTCTGTGGATAATAAGTGGGACAGGTAGGGCAGCTTTGCCTGCGTGTTCTCCTGGCTGATCCAAAAGAGGAGGAAAGAAAAATTTTGATGCCAAGCAGTCTTTGGAGACAAATGAAGGCATTCTCTTTGAGCAGTATGTTGAGGCCGTTGCGTGTAATATGGACACGCTGCTGCCTTCACAGATGCCTTGGAAGAGGCAGGAAATAAGTGGCTCTTCCAGTCCAAACCAGGTAAGAGGCATCAGCAGCCTGGTGTAACCTGTGGGAAATGCGAGCACTGCAGGCATGACCTTGGCTGCGGTATGTGATCCAAATCCTTGCCTTTGTGTGCAGGGTGTCTGCTGAAGACATGGCCCCACGTGTGATGACAGTTCAAGACCTTGGCACTGTAGTCAAGAGAACCATCTTGTTGTGTCTGGTATATAAGACTTCAGTAAGATATTCAGTAAATAAAAGTTTCCTTAAAGGTAGCTCTGAAACCAAACAAAGACAGAATAAAGCCACTGCCAGAAATGTATACACTGAAATGAAGGTATGCAATGAGACCTGGATTGGCATGCTTGAACAAAAAGTGAAAGTGATCGTTGGCAGTGGACGAAGAGCAGTTTACAAAACTGCCCTAAAAATGGCATTCAAGGAAGGCAGCAATACATGGTTACAAATGAGCTTTGAAAATAATTGGTTCATTTCTGGGAGGAGATGATGGTTGTTACTTGGATGGAATAGGTACAAATTGTATAACACAAGTAAGGGAACAAAGTGAGACAAGAGCAACATTTTACAGTTATCAGTGTTAAAGATAAGAGTATTTTCCCTAGCATGTGAGGAGCAGAGATAGCCTCAGCAGTGACTGAATGAAAATTGAGAAGTCAGTAATAATGCAGAAGGGCAGAAATTCTCACCAGATCTTCCAATATGCACAGAAAAGCATCCCAGATGTGCACTGCATTGTATAATGATCAGTGGGTATTTGCCTTCAAATCATAAAACCTTCTCTTTGCAAATGGCTGTAGGAATGGGGCTGGTGGTCTGCTATGCATGTTTATGGAGATCCAGCTGGACAGGCAATATGTGTGAGATTTGTAGCTCTCACTGACCAAGAAAACTGAGGTCAAAGTCCGTGTCTGCACTGATGCAGTGAGCAGCCCTGCCAGAGCTTGAAAATCCTGGCTACAATTAAAAGAAGTTTAATTGAAGTTTGGGGTTTTTTGGAGGTTTTTTTGTTGTTGTGTTGTTGTTGTTTATTTTGTTGTTTGTTTTTTTTTTTTTTTTGGAGGTTTTTTGTTTGTTTTTTAGTTTGTTTTTATTGGAAATTTGTTATCAGTAAACATTACTGGTGATGATAAGCATCTCTTAACATTTTTTTCCCATTTCTGCACTGCAGGAACCCTCCTGCACTGCCTTTCTTGAGCATTTAAAGGAGAGGAATAACAGACTACCAAGAAGAGAAGGCTGCTGCTGTTAGTTTTGTGTGGACAAAACACAGCGCTTCCCACAGCAGTCTGCTTCTTTTCATGGTGCCATTTAATCTAGCTTAGGAACATCTGAAGTTCTGTTTCTTTGTTAGAAGCAACTCAGGCAAGAGCAAAGAAGTTGGTAAATCCTGGAGTTAACTGCACAGTTTGTGTGAGAAGGTGACTGTGGAGCACACGTGGGGGGTGTGCAGAGATTGAAGTAATTATGGCATTAGCTGCCAAAGGTTCTAACACCTGGCAGTTGTGCTTACTATATTTGCTGTGTCATTTATTAATGCAGTTGTATTATTTTTAAACTCTACATAATGAGCTACAGTGCTAATAAGGGAAAAGATCTTGTTTTCTTTAGTAGGCTTCCCATCACAGTCCATTTTGAACCATCCGCACCTCCAAACCATTGTGTTTCAGAGTCCCTGGCAAAGATGTGCTCTTCTGTGGGACATCTGTGTAGGAAAGTTGAGGAGGAGGTAAACCAACCAGGGACACAGCCCCTTACATTATTCAGGCTGCAGCAAGTTTTTAAGGCAGCGTGGATAAGGGGCTGACCAGTAACTGCAGATGTGCTTTGCATTCACATCACAATACGCCAGTCACACAGAAAATTCCTCCTGCAGGCTGGCAGCAGGTTCTGCTTTCCATTCTCTGTATGTCCCCTCCAGTGGCAAACACTGTCCCAAGAGTACTGAACAGTACAAAGTGTGTGGCAGCAGTGGCAGCTCACCTGGGAGGAAGGGCACAGCACAGTGCTTGCTGGACATGCAGTTGATTTTTCAGTGAAGTTATGTTTCAGCAGAAAAGAGGAGTGCTAATTTTGGTGGCACTCAGTTCACTAATGCTTCCATGTCAACAAGTGAGCAAAACAAGAAGTGATGAAGGGCTGTATTTCTGCAGGGCAAGCCAAAGGTGTTGTGTAGCATCCCAGCCACTGCATTTCACAGCTATCACAGGAGGAGAAATGTGCCTTGAGGTACTCCTGCAGAAAGCAAAACCGTGTTGCTTTCAGTAACCTCCGTGGCAATGCTTACATTTTCTTCTGTTCAAGGTAGGCAGGCAGCTTTGTGCCCAGCACGAAGCCTGCTCTGAGTTAGGTGCCATTCACAAGAAGCAGAAGTATTTCAGCTGTTCATTTCACTGCTCTCCTCTCCCCTTAAACCTGAGGAGGTAATTAGGAGTGGTGAGGGAGGAGGTGTCTTTGTGGGGTGTGCTGGGTGCCTGCGGTCACTGAGTGGCTGAGGTGTGCAGAGTGAAGTCTGGTCTAACCCAGCAGTGCTCCCTTGAAGGACACCACAGAAAATAATCCTTCTTTTGACTTCAGCCCAGCAAAGGCCATTTAAAGATGAGGTGAGGATATGAAATACGTATGAAATGCATTTTTAATGTATTGCTCCTCTAAAAGGGAGAGAGGAGAGTGCAGAAGGACACACAGGGAAAGGGAGTCCTAGAGGCCTCATATGGCTGAAGTCACAAATGCAGGAAGGAAAGCTGCTTAGATGGCGTGGAGATGCAGTGAGCAAAAGCTCCTCGTAGTTTATGGGGAATGGCAGGCCCAGAGTTCATTGCATCTGGGCAGCATCCAATAAGTGGAGAGCAAATCCATAGGGAGCATAGCCAGGCCCACAGACATTGCCAAAACACTGTGAGTGCAGCAGGGAAAAAAACACATTCCTCAATGAAGTGTTTGTGACGTGGGCTCACGTGGATGTGATCCAGGGAGCAGTGGGTGGTTCAGGGCTCTCTTCCCAGCACACCCGATGTCTTCGCATGGCAGAACCTTTTGTGGCATTCTACTTCGTTCTGCATCTGTAAGAAAGTGACACACAGCTCTGGCAGTGTGCAGAGGGGGCTGCCCTGGGCTCCTCCTCGTTGCCTTTTCCTTCCTTTAACCCCCTCCACACCTTTTGAATGTGCCACATTTCTGCACCTGCATTTCCCTCCAAAGGATACAGGTTGAAAAAGCCCCCTCACAGCTGGAGGGGTTGACCTGAGGAGACGAGGCTTGTGGTCGTGATGGAGAGCAAGTTGCAGAGGCAGCAGTGGGAGCTGGCCCAGCTCGGGCAGGACGCCCTGTGCCTGCATCTCGCAGCATGGTTGGCGCGCATTCCCCTGGTGTCTACCTGCTTCTAGTTCTATGCCTTGAAGACTGCTGCAGATCAGTAATAAGTGTGGGAAGGCACGTGAGTCCTTCCACTTGCTGCAAGGCAGCTGCAGGTTGGTTCATGGAATGCACGTTTTTCTTTGTGTGCTGAAAGAACTGTTGAAAATCAGTAGAATTATCAGTTTTTAAAGAATTGGTTGCAGCATCCTCTGTAGGTACAGACCAGCACCTGCAGAGTCCTGCTCATTTTGTTTCCCATGAAATCATAACTCAGCCTCATCTAGTGATTTAAAATGTGTTTTGCAGGAGTGCTCAGAGAAGCGCATGCGTGGAAGCATGTTCCCTGCTTCTCCATTCATCCACTACTACGACGATGAATGTGACCTCAAGAGGAGAGCAAACAGGTTAAAAAGAAAGATCGCAGGTACAGCACATATTGGGAGATCCCTTTTTATTTTCAGTTCTGTGAAATATTTTCTCCCGGGCTTGCTGCTTTCTGAAGTAGTGCTGAATTGTTTCCATGTCTTGGGAGAAGCTGTAGAAATTTGGAAAGGTACTCCAGGAGTAGTAAGAGGTTTGTGACCTTAATCTTCTGTGTACCATGGAAATACATCATTTCAGTGCCCCTAGGTGAGTGTTGCCAGATGTTTTAATTCTGCTGACATTGAAATGGTAATAAACTAGCAAGAGGAGGCTTAAACTGTAAGTCAGTAAGCTTCTCGTCTATGGACAATAAAAAACCACCTCAAAAAAATCTACCAAATTGAGACACCCTGTACAGGGAAAACTACAGTGGCTCTAGCACGGGGCTTCAGGTTTTCATTGCAGGTACTGAAGTGGGCTGATCTGTTTTACAGAACTGCAAGAAGCTGGCCTTCTGCCATTACAGCCAGAGACACCATGGCAGGAAGAAAAACATGGAGGGCACAGCTGCAAGAAAAAGCCTTGGGACGAGCACAGTAAACGTAACAGAGATGAGCATCGCAAGAAGAAGAAGTCGTCATCCCAGGCAGACAAACAGAGAGCAAAAAGACACAGAAGTGATGTTGAAAGGGGCCACGAGATGGAGGACGACTTCCCTAGAGGGTATCATAAGCAGACATCCAGGGGCAGCAAAAAACATCACAAGTCTGTTCTCCAGGCACATGGCAGCAAGAAGGAGTATGGCCAGCAACTTCTGGAAGCTGCTAAAAGGAAGAAGAAAAGGAAAAAACAGAGGGATGCTAGTCCTGATATCAATGAGAATTTATTCCTTATAAAACAGAGGAGGAAAAAGTCTAAACAGAAATCCTCCTGCTGGTGAGGAGGTAGATGGGAAGCACTGACAGTTGCTGGCCCTGATTCTGCCTGTTCTTTGTTTTTGTCACTCCTTACACACTGAATTTGAGTATGTCCCTGAGTCTGGGTGGACATGCCCAGGCCCCAGTCACACAAGAAGCATCCTTCTCTACTTGCAAAAGAGATGCTTTGTCTGTTGTGCGCTGTTCACTTGGCAGGGAGCATTTAGTATTTGTGTCTGGAATTACTGTACTTTTTCAGCAGTCCTTGTGTAAGTTTGCTGCCTTTGCTTGTCATGTGAGGGGCTGGGCTGGGGAAGGCCCTTGCTGCTTTGGGTAGGATTTGTTTCTTTGCTGGTGAGATGTAGCTCTGATAGCAGGATCTTGGCACGGCACTCGTGTTGACACTGAAGGGAAGCTTTTGCATGAGCAGGAGCTGGGTCCGTGTGTGGAGATGTGCGTGTTCCCATCAGCTGCTCTCCAGGGCGCATCCTGTCCCTTCGAGAAGGTGCTGTGAAGGTGTTGCGTTAAGCTTTGGGAAGTGATGGTCTCCAGCCTTGCTCTGCAATGTAGGTCCACCACCATCAGTGCCACAGCTCTGGGTGCCAAGCGTGGGCAAGCTCTGACTGACCACATTCCACCTCTTTGCTGACTGGCTAGAACAGCAGGAGAAAGCAGCTAAGAAAATACAGCAGAGTTTACATCTCATGTTAGTTATGTCACTGTTCCCCCTGGTGTGGGAGTTGTGTCTGCAGAAATGGTAGAGCATGAAAAGTGTGTTTGATTCCAGACACGATGCGCTAAAATTTAATAATTAAAGTTATTTGTAAGACAGTTATTTTTGTACTGTAGAATTGGACGTTTATGTTGTTTAAAGTTTTGTAACAACAAATGCTTGACCAAATGAATAATTCAAATAAAAATTTACATGGGGGATATCCATAACCACTGATTTGCTCTACATTGTCTCATTGGCAAGCAGAACTACTTAAGAACACACTATCTGCTTCCCCTATTTTGAGCTGAAACTACAGCGCTGCCAGGAGATTTCCTGTTTTTGTTGGTTCGGGACCTGTGCTGCAGCATACCACTACTTTTGCTAAGCAGAAGGAAGCAACTACCTGCACGTGTTCATCAAGTTAGGCGTCCTCTCTTTCTGCTTACAGAGAAATTGGAAAGAACCTGCAGGTTGTGCAAATGCATGGGTATAGGAGGAGGAGAAATCAGAAGGGTATTGCAGTACAGAAGAATGGGGGCTGTCTTTCAGCCAGAACTGTAACACTCTCTGTAAGCTCCCTGCTTTTTGTTTTTTTCAGGGTCCCAAATGACAACACTGGTATTTCAGTGCCATATTGTCTCTGTCCAGAGCTGTTTTCGGCAGACCTAAACCCATGTAATGCTTGAGAACTGTCAGGACTTGTCAAGGACATCTTATTCAGAACCCAGTGCCCAGTTCTGAGTAAGTGCCTTCGTGCTGGTGGCTGAAATGTCTCTCTTCTCAACTTCATCAATTATCTGATTAAAAACTTCCTTTTGGCTGAAAAAAAATAAATCACTTTCACCTCTTATTAAAAATATATACATCCTGAAAAGACCCCAGCACTGAACTCACCTTCTCCCATGTGTTGTGCTTTACATCCCTTTTTATTCACCAACACATTTTTCTATTTGAACAAAAGTCTCCAGCAGCCTTCAGCTGGCACAGCATGCAGACTGGTAGATACAGAAGGAGAGTTTTGGATTCAGTATTTAGGTCAGCTCCAGCTCATCCAGCAGTTGCCCCATTCACTCAGTGGCCACCTGGAGCTTTAGAGAATGCATCCTCAGAGCTTCTGTCCTGTAGCACTTCCTTGGACAGAAGTGTTGTGATGCAGGGAGTTCCTGATTCTCCATCTACAGGTGATGGGCAGCTCAGAAATCGGCAGGTGCCACGGTGTGTGTGGCTGTACCCCTGCACATCAGCAGCCTGCAGGGCTGCAAACCGTATGCACTAAGAAAGTGTGAGCAGAAGATGAATCTCAGAAGACTGCATGCTGGTGGTTCTGCCCGCAGAGAGTACTGGAAAGCACAAAACTACAATAACAGGCAGGGGAGAATTCCCTTAAGCTGTAGCGAGGCAGATTTTAGGGCGTCTCCCGGAATTATTTTCTTTGCTGTTTTTGAGGCAAATGTTCAGTAATATCTTTGTTGTAGTTTGATTTAGTTTTCGTTTAAGACAGAAGTGGGCCAGTGGAATTTTGGCCTTGTCATTCTCTACGTTGCACAATAGTGTGCTCTGGAGAGTTTTCACATTCACCGTGCTCATTTACTGAAGAACATCACGAGCAGGGAGACCTCTGCTTCACTCCTCCAAAACTGAAACTGCTGTGTTTTCTGCGGTGTCCAAGAGACCAAGGACAGAACTACAAACTGCAGTTAACATCAGAGAGAGAGGGAGAGGAGTCCTTGATCCATATAGGAGGTGTTTTACAGCTGCTGTGCTGTGTGTTGTGAAGGAAAACTTCACAGCCACTCCTGGACAGGAAAACCAGAGGAACTTTCTTCTGGTGCCACCTGGGAGGTGATGCTCTTGAGAGGTTCCCCATGGAGATCTTCTCTGTGTCTCTATCCCTGAGAACCCTCAACTAAATATTCTGTTCCTCATTTGCAAAGCATCCCACAAGGAAACAGAAAGGCCAGTGTACTTGCTGCTTGTGCAGGTGTTATGCAATGGCTTAATGTGATGATGGGGTATTTAGCAGGCTAGCAAATGTGAGAGGCAACAGTGGTAATGTGAAAATGATACGCACTGAAAATGCCCCACCTAGGGAAATACAGAAGTGTGAAAGTACCGACACTGCTGAACTTGTGAGGCTGCTACATGAACTCGTTATGTATTTACATTGAATTAATGTTTACTAACAATAAGGGAAGAGAAACTTACGTCATCTACCTGGCCTTGTGCAAAGCATCTGACAGTGTCCTGCACAACATTCTTGTCTCTCAATTAGAGAGAGATGGATTAATGGATGGAGCGGTTGGTGGACAAGGAGCTGACTGGATGGGGACACTCAAGAGCTGTGCTCAACACAGTTACAAGTCAGAGATTCATACTGGGACCAGCACTTTTAGCATCTGTCAATGATGTGGACATTGGGATCAGATGCACACTCAGTAGGTTTGCTGACAACGCCAAGCTGAGTGATACAGTCAACACGCTGGAGGGAAGGGATGCCATCAGGAGGGACTGGGACAAGCTTGAGAGGTGAGCCCGTGTGAACCTCTCCATACGAGGTTCTGCACGTGGACTGGGGCAATATCAAGCACTCACAAAGGTAGGTCACTGAGTGGACTGGGAGCAGCATTGAGGAGAAGGACTTGGAGACATTGGTTGATGAGAAACTCAACATGGGCTTATACTATGGCCAGAAAGCTAATTGTATCCTGCAGTGCATCAGCAGCGGGGTGACAAACAAGGAGACGGAGGTGGTTCTCCTTTGTGTAGTCTTATGAGATGCCACCTGAAGTACTGCAGTCAGAACAGGAGCACCTGGGCTTCTTAGTCTGGAGAAGGCTCCTTATAGCAGCCTTCCTATGCCTCAAGGGAGCTACAGGAGAGCTGGAGAGACAGTTTTCTTCAGGGAGTTTAGAGATAAGGCAAGGGGTAACAGCTTTAAACTAAAAGAGGGGAGACCAGACGTGAGAAGGAAATTTTTTATTTGCAGGGCAGTGAGGCTCTGCCCAGAGAATTGTGGGTGCCCCATCCTTGGAAGTGCCCCGAGCCACAGCTGGACCATGACGCAGTGAGCTGGTGGGGCTGAGGTCTAATCCAACCCAACCATGCTGTCATTCTATGATTCCATGATAATGAAGACAAGACAAGGCAAGGAAGAGAGTGTTTCAGTGTTTTGAGCTTGGGGCTGGGAATGATAAGATCAAGTCCCTGTGGGTAAGGGGCAGAGGCAGGAGCAGCAATCCTGGTGGGGCTCCGTTAGAGACAACCAGGATGAAGAGATGGATGTTGCATTCTACGAGGAACTGGCAAAAGTCACATAATCACCAGTCCTTGGGGGGACTTCAGCTTCCCTGACACATGCTGGAAATGCAATACAGCTCAGAAGAAGCAGTGCAAAGGAGGTTCCTGGAGTGTGTGGGAAACAACCCTGACACAGCTGGTAAAATATCCTACCAGGAGATGTGCCCTGTAGACCTGTGAGAGAAGAAATGGTGGGAGATGAGGCAGTCAGAACTGTCTTGGGCATAGCAACCATGAAATTAAGTTTTCTGTTCTTGGTGAAGTCAGGAGGGGGTCAGCAAAACTGTGGACTTCCAGGGGGGACAGACTTTGAATTGTTTTGAACATTGACCTGGAAAATCCCTTGGGAGTCAGTCCTGAAAGGCAAAGGGGTCCAGGAAGGCTGCATGTGGCTGAAGAAGAAAATCCTGAGGGTGCAGGCCCTCCTGTCCTGTAAGAAGAGTCAACGGGGAAGAGGAGCAGCCCGGCTGAACAGGCAGCTCTTGGTGAGATACCAGGAGAAAAAGAGAATCTGTGATCTTTGGAAGAAGGATCAGGCAACTCAGGAGGAATACAAATATGTCACTAGAGTATGTAGAGGGAAGCCCAATGAGAGTTTAATCTGGCCAACATTGTTGAAGATTATAAAAAATGATTTTACAAATATGTTGACAGCAAGAGGAGGGCCAAGGAGAATCTTCCACATCTATTGGATGCGGTAGGGAACTTCATCACTGAGGATGAGGAAAAGGCTGAGATTCTCAGTGCCTTCTTTTCTTCAGTCTTTAGTAGTCAGACCAGTTATTTATAATGTATGCATATTAAAAATTACAAGATAATTATATAAATAAATACTGCAGATTCTGATGTACAAGTCATGGCAGTAATGCAGCCGCTTTGTTTCAGAGGTACTGATGTCTTCTAGTGGTCCACGTGCAATGTGATGTGGAACTGGTGAGTTTTCCTAAGTCTTACATCTGAGGCACCTGGCTACTCTGACAGGAATTAAATCGGCCAGGAGTCCAAACTGAGTAGTTCCTCTGAAGTTCAGTGGCCTTAACCAGTCCTATTTGACATTGGACTCTTTTATGGATTTTTTTTCAGATTTGAGTATGTGCCTGAATTGTCCTGGGAAGCCAATGATGAAAATTTAAGCACAGTCAGTAACTGCTGCAAGTGGCTGGGTGGATCCTCAGAAGCCTGACTGTAGATTGTGGCCTCTGTGCCAGTGAGCACAATGCTGCAGATGAACGCCAGGAAGTAATCAACTTGCTTTGCTGAAACAAGGCTGCAGCAAATCTCCCAGGCTGACCGAGAGGCAGCAAAGCTGTGGTAAATGGAAAAAGAGACTGCAGCAGTGTATACAAAGCAGGGTGTTAGCTGCAAGTCCTCTTAGGCTGTGGCGCAGTAAGATACAAGCTCATGTCTGACTTTTGTCAGGCATGGCACTTCCAGATTGAGCAAACCTGCTGTGCAGTGTGCAGAATCAGAGGGGTTCCAGATAATGCAGCCGGCAAGAAAAGATGGAAATGGACGAGACTCTTCTTTTTCTTCCTCCTAGAGGAAAGCATGTGTGAAAATAGCATTCATTGGAGGACTTTTTTTTTAATGGAGTGAGTAGGGCAACAAAGCTCAGGGTCAACATACAGCAGGTGGGGATAAGACACTAAGAACACAGGCCTTGAAATGGTAAGGATAGCAGAGGACCGCAGCGGATTGTCTGAGCTGGGATGGAGAATCACTGGCAGGGTTTGAGGATGAGCTGAACAAACATGAGTTGCAGATGAAAAGAGATTGCTGAGGAAGCAGATGGGTAGCGGGCTGCTGAGGGCCCATTCTGCAGTATCTCTGAGTAGGTTGGTCCTGCCCTCTCCACTGTATAAGCATCGCTGTCCTGTTCCACTGCTGGGTGGAGCGGTGTCAAACGCGACCAGGTCCAGGCACTGCTGGC